TGACAACTGGGGAGCCAGTGCTGTGAATCCCAGCCCAAGAGCAGGAGAGGATGAGCTGGAATGCCCTGGCTCAAAGGACTGAGGAACACCTTTTCTTCCTCGGGTCCTTAAGGGTCAGGATACTGAGGCAGATCACCTACCACGTGCAAGGATTCAAGTACTTCACACCCTTCCAGACACACCCAGAAGCAGTGTTTAACCTGGGGACCCCATAGCCAGCCAAGGCAGCACAGAAAACTAACCATTACATATATGGCAACCAGTGCACACTCATGTAGGAACACACTCAGACAGACAGACACACACACACACACATGCACAATGCTGCCCATTTCTTTGAAAAAAATCTTACCAAAGATTTCTACAAATAGTGAAATATGCTGAAGAACAGAGGCAAACTATGGTGTTGAGATTAGCTGTGTATACCAGACAGCAGAAACAAATATCATGGACACGACATGTGTAGTGTGTTTTAGTTCTGAAACCCCCACTCCATTTTTATGTCTCACCAAGCCCCGTACAATACCTGGGAAAGAAGCTGTTTGTCCCATTTCACTGCTGAGCAGGTAAAACTCAAGGAGGCCAGTGATTCTTTTTTTCTCTGCTGCTGGAGACTGACCTGAGGATTTTGCACTGAATCACACCCCCGCTGCATTTTATTTTATATTTTGAGACAGGATCTCCCTAAGATGCTAAATTGCCCAGGCTGGGCTCAAACTTGCAATCCGCCTGCCTCAGCCTCCCAAAAGTGCTGGGATTACAGACGTGCATCACCAGTGCCCAGCTGAGGTGACCCAGTGACTTACTGGGAGTCTCTGAGCAGCTAGGGGCTCGGGGGACTCCAAGACACTACTCATCCAGATGTCCTGTGGGTGAGAGCAGAGGTGGTGACGGTGTGAGAGCTCCGTAGGAAAGCCCTGGGCCAACCTGCGAGAGTCATCCTGGCTGACCTGTCCTCCACCTGTCCCATGGTGGTGGATCCTAATTCTGTTCTCATCATCTCATTACTCTGATGTGAGAGCCAGGCTTCCCATAACCCCTGAGCGTGGAGGCTTGTGTTCCATTGGGGCTCTCAGTGGAGCAAAGACCACACCAAACCCTCCCCAGACCGGGATCGGGAAGGACTGGCGACGGCTGGAGAGCATCTGTGTGACACCTGTCACGTGGGCCTCTCTGTTTGTTCAGAGCACTGGGGAAATCTTACTGAGAATAATGTGAATCGCTGTGCTGCTGATTAATGACCTTGGCCCTCTTCCTTTCACTTTCACTGGGGTGAAGCAGGCTGAGCAGGAGGAAGTGGGCCTTCTTCTCCCTGCTCAGCGCCTCGATGGTTTATCTTTCTTTACCAATTTCACTGGCAAAGCGTCCGGCACAGACACTCAGTAAGTAGTGGCAAACAGACCCCAGAGTGCGGTCTCCATGGCTCCAAGAGCCAGAGGACTTTGCCTCCTCTCTACCACCTTGTCCATCTCACCTGAGACTTACGGTAAGGTTATCCCAGGCCCACTGCCCACCATGCCCCCGGCTCCCAGTGAGGGCCTTGCTCATGACTGCAGAAATCCTCCTCAGATGACCCTAACAGCACCGGGGCTCCTGCAAGCCACGGGGCCCCGTGGAAGCGGCCAGGTCTTCCTTGGAGTGTCCTGCCTGCCCACTTCTCATTGTGTCCTCTGTCGAGGGGAAACCCAGAGCCCCCAGAAAGCATAGAGTTTTTGCACACATCCTTTGTTGTCTCGTTCAGTTTATTTTCTCTTCTTGGGCAGAAACACATGAAAGAAACTACCGTTGGCTTGCCAGAGACATCAGCTGAGAAAAGGGTAGAGTCGTCTTTGGAGTATTACATGGTTGTATGTTTTTGATGCAAAGATCCCGGGAGACTTCTTGCAGCTTCTCTGCAGGGATTCGGCTCTCAAGTTCTCAAGTACAGGGGGCAATTTCAGCGTGGGGAGAAACTCTAGGGCTCTATTCCATCACAGTGGAATCTTTTTTTAAAAAAATCACATGAGAGAATGAAGCATGAAGAGGGGAGGCACTATGAACAAAGAGCACTGCAGAACTGGGGAAGACTGCCAGGATATGGGAGTCTTTTCTTAACAGGGAGGGACACGTCTTCCCACCACTGCTGGAGTAGATCCCTGTGTCACCTCCTCTTTAGACACCCTGAGCGCAGTGGGTGCTAAACAGGAACGGTAAGGAGTAGTGCAGCTCTCTCACCCCTCAGGGCTTGGCGAAGGGTGTGTGATGTCTGTGGTACTTCATTCCTAACTCCTTTTCTCTCGCTGGGTACGTCCTGACCCTCCCTCTCTGTAACATGTTCCCCGGGAGATGGTCATGGTCAGAGGAGGTGCAGACTGCCCAGTTAAAGTTCCCATTCCCACTTACCCTGAGGACAGCTGTGCTGAGAGGAAGAGCATGCCTAAGCCGGGTTCGGCATTAAATCATGTGCTGTGAGGAGCTTTACTGTAGACCGTGGTACACTGCAGTTCAATTCACCAGCGGGACCTCCTGACCTGCATGATGGGCTGTGTAAAGGAGCAGACCTTCCTCCTTTTCCCCCACCGCCCTCCCCATAACCACTTCCATTTTGCAGGTGGCTTCAGTGTGAACTCAAAGGCTGTGCTCACACTTGGGAGGGTTGGTTTCGGATGGTTGGCTTTGAGTTGCACATTAGAAGCATTAGCCCACCTTTGACCATTAGCTTGGCGTAGGTGTAAATGTTTGACAGAAAAGCACACATTCCAACACAGTAACAAGTACCGTGCGCACATTAGGAAGTTGATTGGTGGGAAAGGAAGCAGTCGTAGTGACAGTAGAAATGAGCCATTGTGGAAACCTTGGACAGAGTGTCTGCTAAATCATTTGTACTCTGTTAAATGATTTGCATCCTGATGGGACCTGGTAATCCCAGAACTGAGATTCCAAACATTCTTCCACGTACCAGCACTGACAGTGCATCAATTACCGTGGCCATAAGTCTCTTTCAGCTGGCTACACATAAAGAATTACTGTTCCTGCTTTTCTCTGTACCGGTGTTCTCTTAGCCATGCTTCTGAGGGGGTTCAGTAGCAACAATTATGAGCCGTTTTTGAAATTCTTAGGCCTCAAATAGCCTGGTGATATCCCTTCTGCAAAAAACATTGGATTGCTTCCCTTCGTGGTTTCCCGCTCAAATACTGGATGGGCATCTCTGCTCAATCTTGAGAGTAGACATACAACGTCAGTTAATTTATTATTGCTTTGTGTGGATGGACGCCAAGGTTCCCTTTGCCTCTAACAAGGGATGTACATAGCAGCACGGAAATGTACATGTGAAAGTTTATTGAGCGAGTAGATCATGTTAAGTGTGTTTGATATAAACGCATGTACCTACAAGGACATTTTTAGAGCTGATGGAGGCGTTTATTGCCTTGTCTGTGGTGATGAAATCACGAATCTGTGCATAGGTCCACACTCAACCAATTGAATGTAAAACATGCAGTTTTTGTTTTTTTTCAATTATACCTCAGTAAAACTTTTTTTAAAAGATAGCAACTACACTCATGTGTTGCTTAACAACAGGAATATATTCTGACTTTTTTTTTTTGTACCGGGTATTGAATTCAGGTCTTTGCGCTTGCGAAGCAGGCAGCGGAACCACTGAGCTAAATCCCTGGCCCAACGGGGATATATTCTGAAACATGTACCTTAAGTGGTCTTGGCATTGTGCAAACACCGTCAAGTGCACCTGCACAGCCGTGCACACACCGCCGGGTGGCCAGGGGAGTATGGAATGTGCACGGCCCACTGTGGGCCAAAGCATCCGGGTGCCTTATCGGTACAGTGTGTTTTTGTGATACACAGTGAACACTCATCGCACGGAGTTGATACATATTCTTGCCGCATCTCAACGCTTTTTACTTATCCTTCCCCTCCCTTCTCCTTACACCCCTAGATGTTTTCGCATCGCCTAAAAGTCTGTCTCCCTGTTTCCTATCACATATCTCTTATTTTGCTCTTTAAGTCACTTACATTTTGGGTTTCTCCTTTACGAGAAGCCCTGTGATATTTAACCTTCTGCGTCTGGTTCATTTCCCTTAGCATTATGGTCTCAAGGTTCATCCATTTTCCTACAGTGACTCCAACGCACCCTCCTCCTGGCTGCGTGGCTCTCTGTTCTGGAGAAACGCCCCATTTCCTCTGTCCATCCCTCCGCTGATGCGCATACAGGTCACGTCCAAGACTGAGCTGCTGTGACTTGTGCTGCTGTAGACATGGTGCCCATGGGTCCCCTCTTCCCGAAACCTCTTCATACAGCACATTAACTGTGTATATATTGTGAAAAATATAAATTGTTTAAAACAAAGGATGAATGTATATTCTTTTAAGAGCATGTTTCTAGATCATAATCAAGTGTTTGGAGGGACCTAGACCACATGACAGCACTGACTAGTAGAGCCATTTGCAATGGTAGAAATGTTGTATATCTGCACTGACAACATGATAGCCTCTAGCTACACCGAACCACGAGCATACGAAAGAAATGTGCCCAGTGCGTCTGAAGAACTGTATTTTTAATTCTAATTAATTTTAACTTAAAGGGTCATAAGCCATTATAACACTGCTTTCAACGCAACCTTGCTGCTAGTTCTAAAGTAGAATTTAGTGAGAACATGCAGTTAATGATCAAGCAACCATATTCCAGTGGTTAACAAGAAGGACGTGTGGGAAAAGCTAGGGTCGTCCACCACTGAATGTTCCCTCAGGAGTTAAGGACTGAGATGACTGGCTGGGCCCAGGAGCCCTGGTCCCTTTTGTCTCAGAGCTGTGATAGAGGATGTCAGGCAGTGCTGGACACCAATTCATTCAGAGTGGTGGTCTCAGACCAGCAATGTTCTGTGAGTGCTTTGATTCTGCCTGAGAAAGCCCCTAGAAAAGAAGACCAGACTCTTTTTAGAGAGCTGTTTTGAAGGATTTGTTGTTATATGTGAAACTTACCATCCTTACTGGTTTTCCCTTTCCAGGAGCTTATTGATGTAGACAGTGAAGTGGTGTTTGAACTGGCTTCCTATATTTTACAGGTGAGTGGTTCTACAGAGAAGAAAAGAAATAAGACAGTATGTACAGCCAGTGGCCATACCCACTAATTACTTGTCTGTTTAGACTTTTCTAGACACAAGCTGGACAGAGCTATTAAGAATACTGATACCATGGCAGTAAATAGGATATTCTATCATTTCAAAACTCTAAGACAGCAAATCTCACTGCAAAGGAAAGTTGTGTTTACCTGAGCCTAGGGAAAGTGGGGATCATTCCATGGCCCCATTTTCTTTGAATGTGGTGCCCTCTTCTTCCCTGGGCAAAGCCAAGTGAATAGAATTAATCACCAAAGAATCACCCCGTGCCCCCTAGAAAGACAAGGAAAAACACCCTTAAGCTGACAAGAGAGAGAAAGAGAGGGAGGGTGGGAGAGAGGTCTTATATTAGCTGTAACAGCAGCAAGGTAAGTTGAAGTGGTACCCTTGATATTTCTTGAATACCACTACGTGCAAGGCACTATACTAGATTCATGGCAATTTTTATGGCTCCTTCCTCTGGGGTCTTTTGTGTAACTGAAAGATAGCCCACAATACAAAACAGTAAGTGACATAAGAAATAGTTTTATCCAGATATGTGTTCAGGTTCAGAAGCTTTACACGTGAACGATTAGACCAGGGACCAGAGGCGACAGCTTGCATTTTGCCATGTGAATCCCTTCACTCTCCAAACTTTAACTTTGTTTCTCAAATTGGAGTGGTTCCCACTCGTCTTAGACCTGCTGTAAACAGGATGATCGCAGTAAGGAGGTGAGCTTACCTCTCGTTCTGAGCAGTTACTGTAATTATACAGTGTGTTTGAATCTAACACTGGATGAATGTGTTTCACTGATGTTGAATTTTTTCCTTCTACAGGAGGCAAAAGGAGATTTTTCTAGGTGAGTTTTCAAAAGGGGTGTTTTTTGGGGGGGGTAAAATGTGTTCTGTTGCTTTTTTATTAAAAGAAACTACTCTACTAGTGACATTATGTCTTAGTGGTGAGTTCTACTCAACTTATGCACTGAAGCAATGGATGAGGAAGAAAACACAGTGTGTTGGTTTATGTCTAGATGTCCCCCCAACGCCTCATGCAGTCATAGGTAGGGCTCTTTCAGAGATGGCTGAATCTAGAGTGATGAATGCTGGGATTGAGGGTGTGTGAGTACTAAATCAGTGCACTGATTGGTTTGGCACAACCCTAATCCCAGTACCCTGGACACAATATAAGGGACAGAAAGAGGCTTGCCTGGTCTCTTGCTTGCTTGCTTGCCGTCTTCTGCTTGCCCTGAACTGTTTCTCCTCTGTGACAACCCTCTGCCACTCTGCCTTGGGGCCAGCTGACTATGGACTGAAACCTCTACAAACTGAGCTAAATAAACCTTTCCCCCGTTTAACGTTGCATGTCAGGTATTTTGTCTCAGCAACAAGAAAAGTAACTAAGACAGACAGCAACAACAAGGACATTCAGTTCCAGAGAAGGACCCTACAGGTTTCACTGGGCTGGGCTGAGTCTAGTGTTGCAGGGCTGCTGTGCTGAGGTGGATGGCCTGGCCCGCAGTCTCCATGGAGCCTGCAGTCGCACCTGTGGTGTAAATGTGGTAACTGACAACGTGGCAGTCCTACAAATATGTGGACATCTTTCTTTTAATTCTCTCCGTGTAGTCCCTGACCCTCAAAGGACAAAACTGTGCCCTGTGGGGAGATATATTTCATGGAAGTGTTACAGTGTAAATATCCCATTTCACCTTCCTTTTTAAGACTGTAACGCTGGAGAAAACATAAACAGACCTAACCGCCAGAAACTGGGCACAGCTCCCGTAGCCCTGTGAAGTGAGTACTGACTGTCCTTCCTTCCATGAAGCCTGCCGCCAACCACAAGCTGGGGTCGCCTGCAGGACCCTCCCTGGAGTCTTCACAGTGTGCCCCTGAGGCTGTGGGCTCAAAGGCAGACATTACTCCGGGGATTCTGCCTTATCCACTCCTCAGGAAAAGCCCAAGACAGCTCTTTCTCCAGGGTTAGGGTCTACAGGCAGAAGGAGGGCACACATGCTCAGGACAGTGCAACAAGCTTCTCAGTTTAGTGCTCTGGCCCATCAGGAGGAAGGTTGAAGACTGGTATTAAAAATAAACATGAATCGTACTTCTGCTCCCTCAGCTAGGTTTTGAAGGATTTGGTCTTTAAATGCAACATCACCAAGCCTAAGGTCCATGTCCTCAGTCAGATAGTCCAGCACAAGTAAACATTTTAAACCCTAAAACAAGGGTTGGCAGACTGCTTCTGTAAAGGGCCAGTCAGAGCTGGGGGCTTTGCAGGCCGCAGGGTCTCCGTGGCCGTTGGTCAGCTTTGGGGCGGCGGGTAAGCAGACAGCGCTTGTGTTTCCAGGAGACTTCACTGAGGGCCACAGAAGTTGGAACAGTGCATAGAATTTCATGTGTCGTGAAGTAATCCTCCCTCTCCTCCTCCTGTCTCCTCTCTGTCCTCCTCCACTTAAACGTGCACAGGCTGTACAACAAACAGGGCTCTGGACTGGCGGGGTTGCTGTATGCTGACCCTGGTCTAAGTTCAGCCCCCCCACTCCAATGGATCCTTTGCCTGAGGAGGCCTCCAGGCCTCCTTTTCTTGGGCTTCTTAAACCCTTAGTAGGAAGCAGAGGTCATGATATATACTGACCGCTGGAGACCTTGAACGTGGCGGGTGAGAATCGCATTCACTGGATGAATCACTTTTGGGTTGTAAAATGTGAAGTTTGTTTGTTTGTGTGTGTGTTTGTCTGTCTTGCTGTTTTCTTATGACCTTACCTTGGTATTGGAATATTGGTTTTCATAAGTCCGTGTCCCCTCACAAAAACTTCTGGAGTCCTGTGAACAGCTCCTTAAAACCATAAATCCATCGGCTGTTAGTGTCTCAACTACTTGCTCTGAAGATACTTTTGTGTTTTCCGGCTCTGAACCACGCCATAAACATTATTTCTTTTTGAGAGCAACTGGCAGGGTGGAGTGCGAAGTGGGAGTGGCCTCACCTGGCCCCACGGGCCATGGGAACGTGGCCACACAGGTTGCCAGTGGGGAGGAAGTGCAGGGCTGGCCCGGGTGGCCATGCCTGGCCCCTGATGAGCTTGTGGAACGCCAGCTTGTCCCAGTGGCTGTGGCTTCTTTGTCAGAGGGGTCTTCCAGCAGTTCGTGTACAGCTGCAGCTGTTGGGGTGGGAAGGTCAGGCACCACATCTGAAGGTTAGTTTGTCTCATCACACAAAAGCTGTACCCCAAAAGTAGGGCGATCTATTCCATGGGGCCCCTGGTCCATACCCACTTTCTGGAGTAGCCGTGGTTCATAAAACTCTCTTTAGAAGTCCAGGAAAAACAGTGCTTGAGTGGCCTGGAGCTTGGGAATATGAGAAGTAATTTTAAATTCCTGTGTGTATCTCTTCCCATCTACATCTGGGAAGATCCCCAAAACATGAAAGCTGACCACAGCTGGCGTGATGGCTGAACATTCCTTATACGTGGCTCAATCTCGTAATTTAGTTTTACAGAAAGTGAGTTTTGCTATTAGTCATTAATGCGTGACTCTGTGGCCTTAAATACACATAACTAAATGGCTTTCACTTGGACTGGACTCTGTAAACACAGAGCATTTTCCCGAACAGCATCTATAAAGTACGGTGTCAGCTTGAAAGTACTAGTCTTGAGGAAGCCTTTTATATAGATCCAGAACGTAATTCTAAGAGATGCAGAAATCTAGGCAGTCAAATAACCTTTTAAATGAATTGTGGCCAAGTAATTCTTCAGAGCCTGAGAGGGTCTTAAATCTATAACTTCCAAAAGTATAATTTGCACAAGCTGCTGTTTTTATGTATTCAAGTTTCAGTGACTGTATATAGGGCGACACTTGTGTGGAATGAATATTAAAAACCTACAAATTGCCAGTACAATTTCCTTAAAGCACAAAAGAAAAACGGCTATTTTTACAAATATGAGAAGTCAAAAGTGCCGGTGGGCTTTAACAGAAAAAGAGCTATATAAAGACAAGCCAGAGTGCAGTGCTTTCCCACGAAACTCAGGCTGCTTTTGCCTGTCTTCTGCGCTTTCATTTGCTCCGCAGATCCTGAAGTCTATTCTTACGTAACTCTCTTCTCTCCGTTAATGGAAATGCTCACTTCTTGTCTTATTCAACTTGACAGTGAAACCCTGGGTTTAGCATTGCTGAAAGAAAATGACGGAGGCCTAGACAGATAAGCGCAGTGTATGCGACAGGAAGAAATACAGGCCATGCGTGTTCAGACCCCGACACAGAGTGGACAAGTGTGTACCGATCGGAGGGTCAGGAAAGAGTTCTTATCTAAAAACAATGTTTTCTCTCTTGTATTATTTTCCGTAGCACAGCATGGACAATCTTGTTTCATTTCCTGGTGGGTGTGTGGGCGTGTGGGTGTTAAATTTTTTTTTAAACCTTCATGTCTATCAACACTCAGGAAGTCAGCAGAGTTGGCGCTTATGTTTAAAAACAACTGAACAGGCTCAGAGCTGTGAATCAAGGCAGCTGCAGGAGCAAATAGTAGGTGGAGATGGGCCAACAAAGGCTAAATGCAGAAAGTTTATGTTTAATAAGCACCGCCAACAACTAGTCAGCCAGTGACACTCTGCGAACTGTGTGAGCTGTGTCCATCACAAACACCACTGTGTTCTCAGTACTGATCGCTGACTTTTTTTGTTTTTTATTTTCTTTTTGGTACTGGGGATCGAACTCAGGACTTTGCGCTTATGAGGCAGGTGGCGACACCACGGAGCTAAATCCCTGGCCCTAATCACTGACTTTTTATTCGTAAACTTTTTTTGAAAAAAATCTTGAGTCATTGTAGAAAAATATTCTCTTACAAAACTCAGTACAGCAAACTCCACCTAATCAACCGATATCCAAATTTTCTAATATATTAGAAGTTAATTACATTCTAATATGATTAAATTATATTCTAATTAAACTTAATAGGCTTATTATTGCACAATGCTAAGTGAAGTGTTAGGTACAAGAACTTGAGTTTTAATTTTTTTTTCCTAAAGGGACTTTCCTGAAAACCCTGTTGACCAACTTCCTTACCCTACCTTGGGAGTCTCCTCACACGTAGACTGATCGGCTCAACAGTGTGACACGAATTTAAAATGATAATAATTTTAAACATGTTTGCAAAATTAAAATTTTAGGTTTCTGCTGAACATTGCAAATCATTAGTGCCCAAATCACACTGCCCTTGATCTAAAGAATCATCCATACATTAGTAGGGACTACCTGAGTTTTTTAAACAAGATTTATTGAAACCAGATTGGTAAAGCTCTCGCTCTGGGCTGTCCACTGGGACCTGGAAATATCTCTGTGGCCGGGGACAGGGTAGACCAGCGATAACCGCTAAAGCAGGATTCTCCCAGCACAGGACTTATTAGGGCCAGGAAGCTAACCTCACCTGGAAAGGAAGGACTGGTGTTAAGGAATCCCGTGTCACCAGCCGTGGGTCTCTGCGTCACAGGCCTGCCCTTCCAGGGCAGTGTGGTGACCAAAGAGAAGGGAGCTTTTCCAGGGATGCTCGGGGGCAGGTTAGGTGACATCTGTGCAGAACTAAGTGCTGGTCTACCTGGGATTCAGTCATCAGTAAGAATGCTTACTCTGTCCCTAAGATGTCTCTAAGAATCCTGCAGGTTCTTCTTTTTAATCTTGGTTTTAGAGCGATGCATTAAGCAGTCAGAAGAAACAAATAGCAGTCTTCATCAGCAAGGGATATTGATTTTCACCTCCATGTTAGAAGACAAACTGGAGTATTTATTTGTGCTGAAAAATTCCTGTTAACTTCCAAAGGCCACATGTCCCTAGGTCCCTGGGAGAGCAATTAGAAGTAAAGAGCATAAAGACG